GAACTTTACTTTTTCTCATTGCACATAAGAAGGCACATTAACGTGCAAGGAAAAAAAAAAAAAAAAAAAAAAAAAAGGTGGTATTTGTAAAATATTATATAATAAGAAAACTCAACATCCCCTTTTTGATACAAATAAAAACAGCCATTTTATAATTCCTACGCGCAATAATTGTTCACTTCAACTTATTAGTATACTGATAGGCTCATCCCCCTATGTACATTGTTGCCAAGCAAAGCCGTGTACCTTCTTATATTGTATAAAATCACCATGAGCGGAAAAAAAACAGCCTTAGTTGTAGTGGTAAGAGATTGTCATTTGGTTCTGTGTCGATAAATGTGGGCTTGTAGAATGACTGTGTGCGTACCTACTTTTATTAGCACGCCCCTTCGTGCACATTTGGGATGATAGCCCTGACGAACTCGTCACCTTTTGTCAAAGATCCCCCCTCTTATTTCATCATGACTCACTTTTTTTTTTTTTTTTGACCATTGTTTGCTCCAAAGGCATCAGGATCGGAGGATGTGGAATATATTACAACAGTCGATGTGCTAAGGAGAGCTAGTAAGGAAAAAGTTCCACATGTGTGAGCTCGCCGCAACATCTATGTTTATTATGTGTTGCAAAACTCACGAATTATATTTTTTTCTCCGTTTAAAAAATGAAGTGAAAATGCTCTACATTGGAAGGCAAAAAACAATGTTGTGTGTGGCGTGTCGTATGTGTATATGGCAAGGGTACATTTTTCACATCCGTATATATGTATGCATATATATATATATATATATATATATACATGTATATATTTCCCTTTTCCTTTTAAACGAAAGACATCAGCGTCACCACAGCGTCCGTGGAGGAAACAGAAAAGGTGTGCCTGCAGTCGAAGAATGTTGTGATTGCGGACACGATAATTGACAAGGTAAAGGATAACACTTTTGACGTAATCGTCATTCCAGGAGGTATGAAGGGATCGAACGCAATATCGAATTGTCCAACCGTTATTAAAATGTTGAAGGCACAGAAAAGTAGTAACCGATTTTATGCGGCCATATGTGCAGCACCAGAAACTGTCCTACATCGCCATTCCCTAATTGATGACGTTGAGGCAGTAGCATACCCATCGTTCGAAAGCGATTTCAAGCATATCGGCAAAGGACGAGTTTGCGTATCAAAGAACTGTATAACCTCTGTGGGCCCAGGATCTGCTGTCGAATTTGCTCTTAAAATTGTCGAAATGTTGTTAAGCAGAGATGCAGCCCTTAACCTTGCCAGCGGTTTTTTACTTCACCCCTCTGTGACCTTTTAATCTACCATAACGCTTTGCTGAGTGATGGAAAGATGTGTGGATAAAAAAACGCGCATCCTCACCTGCATGACATGATTGTGTCCTATTTTAAACGCGTGTAGAAAGTGCTAGCATAAAAGTGTAGATGTGCATATATATGTTATACATGCACTTGTACGTATACATGTTGTCCCCATGTGCATCGCCCGATCGGAAAAAATTGTTAAGCAACACATTTAACCGTATCCTTTTTAAACGGAAGCTGTTTTGAACAAACGCTAACTTTTACGCATAGGAAAAGTTGTTTTAATAAGATCCCCATGTGAACGTGGAAAAAAAAAAAAAATACGTTTCAAATGTAAAAACATGTGTATGTTTATTTTCCTAAACATTCAAATGGTCAACATAACGGTTAAATATATCTTGTAAAAAAGTTTCAATCGATAAACCATCGCTAACAGAATACAGAAAATTGGCGTTTTTTTAAAAAATCACCTATGCATTTTGAGCGGGAAGCGAGTTGTTCATTAACATAAGAAAAATGTAGATGTGAGGAATGCACTGTTTTTTTTTTTTTTTTTTTAAAACTCGAAAAAAAAATTTTCATTTTTTTCTTTTTTACTTAAACATGAGAACCTGTTCTTCCTGGTTATAAAAAACGCCTTTTTGTAATTTTCTGAAAATGTAACATATGCATAGAGATGAATGCTGCAAAAGTGGCAACATTTGATATATAATTTATATAGAAAATAAAAGTAGCAAGCACTTCTATAAATCCTCATCCCCCAGGAAAAAACGCCGCAAATTAAACAAAAGGAATACAGTACAACTCGAGCGAACCTATGTTTTACAAGATATGTAAACACATGCCTTGCCGAAGCGCACCGTGAAAATTCTTTTTAGCGCAAAATGAATTTAAATAACAACGACAATGATAGCAATTACCAAAACAGACGCAGCAATAACATTTTGCTGAATGACAAATATATAAATTTTAAAATTTTTAAAAAGGGAGAAGAATTATCTGATCAGGACAAAATATTTTTAAAAGTACACACATACTTAAATGAGGGAATTATCCCCAAATGTATCGGAATGGGCATTGGTGGAGGATTTGTGGGTGTTTTAATTGGCGCCTTTTTTTTTAGTATGCAACCAGGCAATATAGATTACAATTTAAGTTACAAGGAACAACTGAAGGAACAGTTTCATTTGTTTAAACAATCAATTAAGAGCTCCTGTGTGAATTTTGCAAAAATAGGATTCTTATTCTCCTTTTATGAAAATTCTTTACAAAAAATTAGAGCAGCAAATGACATAACGAATACGTTATATTCTGGCTGCTTAACAGGAGCTACTATTTCCTACAAAAAAGGGTTACCTTCCATGCTTGGAGGGTGTGCCAGTTTTGCAGCCTTTTCTGCCGTTATTGAAAAATTGCAAAGGTCCAAAAAGTTTTGAATATATTATATATATTGTTTTGTTTTTGTTTATTTGAAAAATATCACTTTTTTTTTTTTTTTTTTTTTTTTACTGTTTGTTCCTACCGTTCTGGGTTAACACCCTTTTCAAAAATATGTGTTTTCTCATTGTGTCACTGAACAACAGCTTAGTAACAGTTTCCCCTTTTTAGGGAACGTAAATATATGCTAGCATCAACGTTAGCATTAACGCAGCATGATTTATTGTTTTATTTCTTCACATTTAATTTTTTTTCCCAACCAATGTAAGCGCACTGTTCACGGAATGAAAGAAAGTGGGCACCAGCTGAAGCAAGTTTTTCGCGTGAAGATGAACAAATAGACAAGTAATTTTGCAAAAAATATGTCGCACAGGGGTGTAGCATCTAATGGTACATTGTATGTACCCACCAGACATCACTAGTAAGCGATAGATTTGTTGCCGTAGAAATAATCTAGGGCTATATAATTGCAAATCATGTTTTGGCCTTCATATATAAATTTTCTTAAAACCCATGACATATAAAATGGGGGAAAGCACTACCTCAATTTTCTAGCAGCAACAGCGCAATCAGGGTGAGCCAAGTCATGCGCTACGAGTAATAGAACCATACCAACAGAGCTAACCATTCATGTGGACGTCAAACGTATGCATATATAAACAGTTGTTCTTTTAAGAAACACGCTGAATATAAAATATTCCCTCCGAACGCTTTAGAAACACAATGGTACACCCACTTCTTGTATAAACAAAAGCAATTTCCTCAAAGAAGAAACCTTAATGCGCGAAACACAGTTATTATGCCTAATCGTTGGCTGAAAAAAACATGTCTAGGCTCAACATGAAGACATTATGGGGGCGTTCCTTTCTTTTATTTTAATTATTATACAAATACCAAGCAGATGCGCGTATAATCGATTGATGGCATAAAACGACTAATGTGTGCAAGATATTTGTCCACCTCCAGGGACCCATTAAACGTAGATACGCAAATAAAGCACGCATTATGCTGTGAATGTGGGGGGAAACAACACCTGCCCCCGATCCTCAAAACGTCAATATGTCAACGTAATACCTTTCTTCAATGAGAACACATTTTCTTTCGCTCGTGTGGTTTATTCACACCCCACTCGCATGTGTAGTGTATACATGATGATACATATAAGTTGCACGCGTTGTGTTAATTCGAAATAAGCCCATTTGGGGAAATTTCCCATTTTTCAAATAACAAATTAAGAGGATCTCCACCTGAAAGGTGTAACGAGTTTCGAATTCTTTTCTACATTGGAATAACCGAGCTGTTCGTGTATGGAGGCTCACCAAATAATTACGCTGTTAAGAAAAAGATGTTATTCAAAAGTTTGCTGTTTTTTTTTTTTTTTTTTCCAGAAAAAAACCCTTTTAACGCATTTTTATAACTTCTATGTTTGTATTATTTAAGTCTATATATAAATAAATCAACAAATTGTTTACTGTGTTAAGAAAACTGTCTTAAAAAAGGTGCACGAAAATTATTATTTATTTGTGTCAACTCATTTACATAATACATACAATTTTTTTTTTTTTTTTCTTATATGGGGAATCCCAAAAAATTACATACATGTTTTATTAATTTTCTGTTTTAAATCCGCGTTGCGATTTTAACAAGGGAAAAAAAAAAAAAAAAAAAAAAAAAAAAGTTAAAATAAAATTAAAACAGCATTTTTATCATTTTTTACAAGTTAAAGCAAAGCATTCATTTTTTGCGCTTGCCTCTCGTGTAATGCGTTCTGTTTTGACATCCGCCAGGGGCATATTATATTAAAAATATACATTGTGGTATGTATGATGGAGAACATGTATTTCAATACGGAGACGTGTACAATTATATAACATGTCAGCCCTTTTTTACCACTTTTGTTTTTTTTTTGTAAAATAATCATTTTACCCATTCCAGTTTAAAACCAGTCAATCCTGCACTGGGAGAATCACTCACGTTATAACGATAGTGGAAAAGTATATACAATATCGCGAACAAGTGTTTCCGCATAAATCATTTTTTTTCTTTAATAACACGCGCACTGCTTAATTCAATTAGACCAGAGGAAGGGAAAAAAGGAAAAAAAATAAAACCTTCCGCATTTAAACGACCTAGTTAACGAGGAAGAATATAAATACATATAATATATGTGAATAACTCTTTTCACAAGGTAGAGAGAGAAAAAGAAAAACCGCGTTGTTTTTTTAAAAATGATTAAGTGAAAGCCCAAAAATGAATGAACAAGAAAACGAATATGATTCGCTGTACGATGTAATATACGATTATGACGTTAACGAAGAATTCCTCAAGGGGAACGACAACAACGTTCAGTCTGCAACACAGGTGCTCAGTCACACAAAAAGTCAGTTAACTGTTAAGGGAGAAAGCGAAAACTGGGCCAATGTGCGTTCGGGAAATGCCCACCCAAATGACGCAACACATGATGAAAATGAAGAAAACGCTTCACCATTATCGTCCATACGGTTAAACGATAAAAATGGCGATTGCGCGTGGAGGGGTGAAAAGGACAGCCAGCTAACGCCTCAGAAGAACACCCCAGACAATGCTACAGGGAGCGGAATAAGCTCCATAAACATGGGTCATTTTAAAAAAAGGGATGATCTTCCTGTCCTAAAAAGTAGTACACAGTATATTGATAGTGGCAACGCTGAGGGTAGCAATTCCAAAGCGGCAGCAAGAGAGGAGGCCACAATTATGAACCCCGAAACACGGGAAAATCATTTGCCAGTTGGTTGTTCATTATCAGCTGAGGGAGGAAACACATCTGCAAATGGCGCCTCTACACATGTAGCACAAATACGCAGCTCCCAAAACTTTAATAAAGAAACGGACCTCAACATGAGGATACTATCAACCGATTGGCAGAGTACATACAACTCGCACGACGTGACTGTAGGCAAGAATTATAACAACGTAGTAAACCGTAAAAATGTATTAGGAGAAAGTGCCTCCAACGAGCAAGGAATTAGAGCGGACAGTCCTCAGATTGATACGGCAAAAGACGAGGAAACACATCACAATAATGACGTTATGATGAATGGTCGAGGGGTAAAGGAAAAATACAAAAAACTTAGATTCGAAGATGATATATATAAAGAAAATGAAGATGGAAAAGCTGATGCAAAAAATGAACAAGTGTCAAATCAGGAAGAAACAAACCAATTGGATGAGAAAACTGCCATTAGTAATGACAACAAAAATGTAGAACACAGTAATGGTAATAACACCTCGGAAGAAAAAAACAAAACGGAAATAAATTCGAATAAAAACACAACAACAGAAAATGATGGTAGAAGTACATTCGAATGTAACATTTGTTTTGATGATGTGAGAGATCCGGTGGTAACGAAATGTGGCCATCTGTTCTGCTGGTTATGTCTCTCTGCATGGATTAAAAAAAATAATGATTGCCCTGTCTGCAAAGCTGAAGTTTCAAGGGAAAATGTAATACCTCTGTACGGAAGGGGTAAAAATAGTAGAGAACATAAATATTCGAATATGGAAGAACCTAGACCCACTCCCAAAAGGAAAGAAAGTGTTAGGAGAAATACTGGTTATTCTAACAATTTAGGGTTAAGGGCTTCCTTTGGCGTTTGGGTGAACCCTTTTTCCTTTGGAATGTCGTACACCAACATGCCAGAAGAGCCCTACTTTTATGATAGCGGTGGTGGTGACAACAGAACCCAGGCAGAAACATATCAAGCGGAAGCTGCATCTTCCTTTTTCTTTTTCCTGGGTTTTTTTCTGTCCCTCTATATTTTGTTTTACTCTTCCTAGGGTGTCTGCATATGTGTACATGTGTTTATATATATGAACACATGTGCATGGGAGGGAGGATTCCATTGAAGCCGCAGCGCACCTGTGGGCTCATGGCACACACACGCTCCCCATGTGTACCATTTTTTTTTTTTTTTTGTTTTGAAGTCTTTTTACCCAAATTAATTCTATGTATGGATCATGTTGGAAAAGAAAAGAAAAAAAAAGATTACCACGCAAAATTCCCCTTTGCAGATTTTTTTTTTTTTTTTTTCCCCTTTTTTTTCGACCCCCAAGCACTCCATTCTAATTCATTTTTCAAAAATGTGTACATGTCGTGTATGTATAACATGTGTATGTACCCACGTGATTTCCCCCATGCGTTTATACTACCCACTTGATAGGCACACTCGATACATATATATGTATTTGTGCCTCTTATATGAAAGAGTCCCCTCTTTTTCACCTCTTTCCATTTCTGTGTAAACGCGCAGATGCAAACAGCGCACATTAAGTGTACCATTTTATCGGTTGCAAAATTTTTGAAGAGCGATGCTTTCATATATTGGTGCTGTTTTTTTTTTTTTTTTTTTTTTTTTTTAATGGTCCCCCTATATTAATATATGAACACGCATATGCTCATGCGTTTATTTATCCATCCCATGTTTATGTTTGATTTTAATATTTAGCTTTATATAAGCATAACTGCAACTCTTAATTATTTCCACCTCATAAGAGTAATTGTTTTTGCCTTCGGTTCAGCTTGGAGTGAGCAGCATGTGCAAAGTGTGTAAGTGTACACACGTGTACAAGTTTTGCTGCACATGTGCGAAGTTACACCTGTATCTGTGAGAACATATTGTATGTAATGCCTGCAAGGTGAGTTTCCTTTTTTTTTTTTTTTTTTTTTTTTTTTTCCGTTAATTAGATCGACACAAACTTTTTGTGAACCTGTTGGGTCCCCACCCATCCCTTTTTCAAAAGCGTTCCGACGAGAGCGCATTGTATATAAGTGCATACGTTAATTGTATGTGGATCGTCTAATACGAAAGCTAAAACATACTTTTGTCGTTGGGGATACAACACCCTAGGCGCTGCTTCACAGCATAAGAGGGGTAAATATTTTCTTTTTAATGACTGAATTGGCGAGTTATTATGCCCTCATTGGTGGCCTGTAGTGGTTACACAGACGGGAATTTTTCCCACGCAGACTTCACAGATTATACACGAGAAGAAGGTTGATCCAATGGAGGTACCTTTTAAAATTCCCACAGAGTATTCGCACGCGCACGCTATGTGATGTGTAGGAAGCGCGTATCTTATGTTTAACTGTGTCGTGCAATGTACGAGTTTATTTATATTTTATGGGTTCCTCTCACACCTGTCTTGTCACGGCATGTTTCTCCATGTTACGGCATGCCTCTCATTTTTTTTTTTTTTGTTTTGTTTTTTTTTTCTGCATTTCTAACGGAACTCAGGAACTGGCCCTCGAAGTTGAGTTAACTTCTCTTTTTAATAAATTATCTGTAAAAAAGAAAAAAAAGACACACTTATTGTTCCCCTCCCCAATGCGTGTTCAACAGGGAGCACACCGCAAATGATAGCAGCACTGTATCACGGTTGCAAGTGACACGCGTTTGTAGTGAACGCATGTAGTCTACATTTGTGGTGCATTTTTTTTTTTTATTTGCCTTCACTTGCTCCACACTGTTACCCATTTTTTGGAAAATTACCGCCACTGCACCCTGCATAGGATGGATCAAAAAACGTAAATATAGACAACGCCCTGGAGATAGTGTACAAGTTGGTAAGCCTCTAAAGGGGGATGCAGGGGAGTGACTCCGTGTGTTTGAAGAGATATCCTCGAGGGTAACCGCGCCAGTAACAAACTCTTCAAATTAGTGCAACTTCCTATAGGGCTTTTTTTGAACTTGAATCCGTTCTCTCCCCGTAGGGTTATGTCCCTTCAAAGGAAGACATAGACGAATTTATTCAAGCCACCAACGGTGGGGAAAAAAGCAAACAAGTTTTGATAACCACTAAATGTATTTTCAAAATGGTACACAAGAAAAAAATTTATATAATAGTCTCATTACTACATTTTATCCACCCCCCCTTAGGGATATGTTCCCTGTCAAATATAAAAAAATTTTGTAAAAAACTGAAGTTACCTAGTGTCTCCACGGATGGACTAGTGGACGTATTTAACCATTACGATGTTCATGTAAATGCTATCCAACTTTTATGTTTAAATATTCCCACGTTTATAATGCTGTTTGGAGATTCCAAGTTTTAAATATAATAAAAAAAAAAAAAAAATACATGTATTGCTCCTTCCCTTGTTTCCTAGTCATGAGCATATTTTCATAGTCACAATTTCAGCACACGTGTTATCACAATATATGCTATTTTTACTTTTCATTTATCATAAACAACAGGGAACAGGCAAAATTTCCAAGGATCAATTTAAGTCACTCTTCACCACTGTTGGGTCAAGAATGTCCAATGCAGAAATTGATGCAATTATCAGGTGCGTAAGGCGAGGTAAACTAGACTCCCCATTTTGACGCAATGAAGGGTTTGTTAGCTCAGCTTAGGTACATATATATATATGTTTATATATATATATTTTTTTCTTTTTCCAAACACTGCTAGGGAGCTGTGCAACGAGGGAGACCAAATTGATTACAAGGAGTTCCTGAGCAAGTAACAGCGCCGTCGCGCTAACCTGCACCATAACCTGCGCGTTGTGTTCGCAGCACGCATGCGTGTGCTTATGTGATGAGGCATGTGTGACACCCGTTCCGTGCTCCCCTCTTTTGGTAGGTTGCTAGCCCAGTAAACATCATGCGTGGAGTAGAAGCATCACATCAATCTGCATACGCTCCATTCCAATGGCCATACATAGCGCTGCTCAAATTGGGGTGCCGCGCGCAGCCCAAATGAAACAGCCCCTTGCGGGAGGTCGAACCATTTTTTATTTGCTTCACTTCTACGTAGCAAAGCATCCTTGCAAACTTAGAATTAGCATTTCACATTTTTGTACATTTTTGTACCAATCATTTTTCGGAGAATCGCCTTGTGTTAAGTGGTTCACAATAAAATGTTGAACCCTCTAAATGGACGAATTTGAAGACACAGAAAAAAAAAAAAAAAAAAGAAAAGAAAAAAACAAATATATAGTACTAGACAGAAAGGCAACGATGTGGTGACAATGCAAAAGCAACAATAATGTGATGAAAATGAGATAGTCTCAAATTCATGAAGGTGTACGAGTGCTAGCAAAGTGAAGGCAAAAACAATTACTTTACAAACTATAAAAAAAAAAAAAAATACAAAATTAATAACATAATTGCAGCATTTCTGCTTCTTCATGATGCTCACTACTCGCTAGCTACACCTACTCAACTCATACATACGCGCGTACACACATCTGCGCGTACGTACTGGCACATATAATATGTGGGCTATACACACAAAAAAAAAAAAAAAAAAAAGCTCACACACGCACATAACCTAAACATATACATAAACATACACATAAACATGCACAACTGCTGTGCCTTAAAAAGGTGAAACATTTTAATTAAAAAACATTGCACGAAGCGCAGACATATACAAGTAAAATGCGCGAACATGTATGAACATGTGCGTTTCTAAACATGCTCTTTTAAAATAGTAATTACACATACATCGCTACACATATATGTACACACATGCATGTACATGTGCCGTACGGAGCGACAGCGTTTTTTTTTTTTTGGAGGACTTGTGGCTTTTACATAAACAAAATGTTGCCCCCTTTTTTGACAGTCTTCGTATAACAAATTTTTGCATTTTTATTTGGTTTGGTGCACTTGGCCAATGCGGGTCACTGAATGGACGCGCGCGCATTCAGACAAGGATACACATGTGAACGCTCCGACCGATGCCCATTTGAGCACCGTGCTAACGATCGACTGCCCCACGCTGGCACCCGCGGCAGAACAAGAACGGTGTTGTTCGGCGTATAGTACGTATCCACTTTTAAACCGCTCAATCTTGTCACACTAGGGAACGACGCTGTCTTCATTTTCAAGCGCATATGGAGGCTGGGGCTTCTTCTTCTTTTTCTCCTTGTTGATGCGGAAGATACTGAGGAAGCTCTGGTTGATGCTCTGGTACGACTGGTAAAATTTATTTTTTTTGTTAATTTTATTTTTCTTGGGAAGGAAGTTCTTATTTTGTGACCTGTACAGCTTGAGAAATTTCTTTAGTACTTTTTTGCAAGTCCTGTGGGAAAGCACTCTCTCGCATGCGACGTTGTAGGACTTATCCCCATTGATGTCCCTGACTGAAACATCCGCTCCTCTGGTCATTAGAACATCAGCAATGTCGTACAGGCCGTAAAAGATGGAGTAAATTAGGGAAGTTTCTCCGTGTATATTGGTAAGGTTATAATTAATATTTTTCCCTTCATTAAGAATATGATGTGCTAGGGTTTCATTCCTTGTCCTGATGCAAATCATTAGGGGACACTCCCCATTGATATTGTCCTTACAATTTACATCTATATTATGTGTTAATAAAAGTTGAACAACCTTTTCCTGATTTTCTAGACAAGCGATATGCAAAGCATTTTGGTGGTATTTATTTGTTAGGTTTATATTTACATTATTTTCAAGTAGAAATTTTAAAATCTCCAAGTTCCCCTCTTCTGCAGCAGCATGAATTGGAGACAAAACATTATTTGAATCCAGTTGATTAATAATTTCTTTCTTTAATGTGTGCAAATATTTCAATATGTTTAATCTTTCCAACTTGGAAGCCTGGATAAATGGCAAGGACCATAAATTATGTTCCTTCTGTAACAGCTGAGGGTATTTCTTCAACAACAATTGCACAGTTGACAAATCATTTTTAAAAATTGCGCATGATAAAACTTCAGTTAAAATATGTCTATCACAAGGTTTCTCTCCTGCCCCGGCATCAATAAAATGATTTACCCAAGCCTTGTTTAAATTGTAAGCAAGCAAAATGGGGGTGAATTTGTTATGGTAACACCAGTTTGGGTTGGCCTTATTTTCTAGTAGTAGCTGTATAATTTCACTTATGTTATTTTCGCAGGCGAGGTACAAAGGGGATTTGTAATCCCTCACAAACGGACAAATGATATTCAAGTTTTCTCCATTTTTTACTAGTGAATTCACAATAGAAAAGTTTTTTTTCTTAATGGCGATGTTGAGAGGGATGTATCCATTTTCTATGTCTATGGGGAAAGTCACATAATAACTGTCGCATGTATTTCCATAGGGACTCACACAAATCGTGTTGCAGTTGTCGTTATTTTTTTTTGTTCCTTCCAACGTGGTTAACTCTGCATCGTTTGAGATTTGCTTGTCCAGTGAGATGCCTTTATCAAAGTAGTTTTCCTTCTCCAGGGAGCTTGCCTTATCTATCGAGTTGCCCTTTTCGGGGAAACCTTCTTCTGGTGCATTTTTTTCCATTTCCGTAGCGGGCGAAGAGGATGTAGCCTGACCCCCGTCGTTCACCCGTGCGTCGCTAGTACTGTTGGCTCCCTCCGCAAGGGATCCTTCACGGTCCATCGTAACAGAGCTCTTATAGCTGTACTGGATGATGTTATTTTTCTTTTTCCGCTTCCTCCTCTCTTCAAGCAACACCTCCACGAACTCTTTCGATTCATGTTCGCACGCAATGTACAAGGGCGACTTTCCTAAGTAATCCCAAATATCAATTTTGGCCCCTCCTTTTAGTACCAAATAGAAAAGGTATCTATTCTTTTTGCTAATGGCCAGAGATATAGGCAAAGTCCAAATGTCAATTCCTCTGTTCTCATCAGTTTCGATGGTTAACGGAGTGTTTGATAATAATTCACTTCCCTTATCTCTGAGCAGGTAAACTAAATTATTGTTTTTGTATTTTTCACTCTTACTCAAATCGTACAATTCTTCTTGTATCTTTTTACTTAACTTTACACAGATTTTTATATTTTCATTTTTTAATGCTACACTGTAACCTTTGACGTAAATATCGAGTCCTATACTTTCGAGGAAGCATTTGCTTCCCCAGGAGCCCAGGATGTCCAAATTGGGTTGCACAAAGTGAGACTGAATATATGGGTCGTCTACTGATATTAAATTTTTGTAACCATTGGCAAAGGGGCAGTCATCACATTTACACTTGAAATTAATTTCTTCTGTCGTGTATATACAACTATTTCCATTACATCGGCACTTGTTCAAATTTTTCTCTTCATCATCTTCATCATCATCCTCGTCTTCCTCTTCGTCCTCATCAAAAGTGTTAACATTGTTGTGTAAAATATTCATACAAAAAATATTTTCTGCTGTTAATCCTTTGGACTTTTTATTATTTCCATTTTGGTTACTTTTTTTACTTTCATACAAATTTTTCTTTTCGAATTCTTTTTTTTTATGGCTTTTTTCTTTTGACTCGAGCGCTTCTTTTGTTGCATGTTTCTCCTCGGCAAGGTTTACACTATGGCTTTCGTGAAAATGTTCCTGAGTCTCTTCCTCTTCTTCGTAAGTGTTGTGACTTCTTTTGTCTCCCTTTTTATCACGTGGGTTATTATTCGACTGCAGGTCCCCGTCCTCATTATCGCTTCTTGTCTCATTGTCGATCCTTTTCTCATTTCGATTTTCCTCGTCATCCCTAATTTTTCGAACTTTTATGTCTTCCTCTACATTTTCGGAGAACCCCTTCCCGTCGTTCTTCCTCTTAGTATTTTCATGCGCTTGTCTCCTCTTCTCGCAACAGCTCCTACCTGCATCCTTGAGACTGTTCTGATGATCCTCTGCCACGTGTCCTCTCTCCTCGGCGATGTAACTCTCCTCATCTTCTTCCCTCTTCAGACACTTGGCGTCTGTTCCTTTGTATTCGTGCTTCATTGCGCAAGTGCAATTATCCGGATCGTTCACGGGGCTGCTCTTCTCATTGCTGCACGTTGCGGTGTATTCGCAAGAGAGGAATTCGTCAAAGATGTCCTTCTTCTCGAGCGTGCCGGTATGACGCGTGCGGCTATGCTGTGGACGGTCGTGGGGTGGATAATAATGGTAGGGGTTATGATGATGATGTGCCCGTTCTTGCTGGTCCTGGTCGTGCCCTTCATGCGGATGGGGGGTGTTGCTTCCACTGTGGTTGGGGTCTGCGATCGAGTTCTTCGTCTCGTACTTGCCGTGGGTATGAGGACCGTAGCTACTACTCATTCCAATGCCACTACCAATGCCGACCACACTGCTGACTGCACTGTCTTGTGGCCTCGAACTATCGGTCGGCACGGGAAGCTCGTCCTTCCGACTCTGAGGGGAACTCTTCGCATAAGTGCTATAGTCTGGGTATGGCAAGCCATGCTGCATTTTCGAAGAATAACCAAAGTGCCTTATAGTATTGTAGAAAAAATTGTTAAAAAGGCTAAAGTTGTTATTCGTTTCTGATTGACTGATGCTGCACTCTGTTTCACTATGCAGTATGGACTTTAATTTTTTGTTGCTGCTAGTGTTTGGGCCTCGTTCCTGGTCACGGCTGCGGCTGTACACATTGTTGCTACAGGTGTTGGTGCACTCGTTGGGGTACCCAACGGTACATACACCAGTGCAGCCCGCATGGTTATTCCCATGGGTACAGGCGTCGTCTGGGAAATTTAACTTGTCCATGCTACTACTGCCATCCACACAGCTTTGGAAACTCATAAAATTATAACTGCTACGGTCGTTAATAATTCTGCGATTGCAATCCTCATGCGCAGAAGAAGAAACGATGGAGTTGTCGAAATTCTTCATCGTCTCTAAGGTCTTACGTAAATTCTTCAACTTATGATAAATCAAATGATTCTGATTATTCGCTCGATTGATAATAAAATTAGCCATAATGAAAATGGGCTCTAGCCATGCATTGGAAAAGGAACAAATAAAATTGGTAAAGACTGGCCACCTATTCTTCCTCAACATAATTGTCAAGGGAGCGCACGTTAAATATTTGTTTCGAACACATTTTATACTTAGCGTTTTCAAAGATGGCAATCTGGTCTGCGCCAAAACTTCTAAAGTCTTATCCGTTAGGTGATGACAAAAATCGAAGTAAATTTCTTGTAAATTATATATAAACAAATGTTTCGTATTTAACGAATCAAAATTGTAAATCTGGTTTAGTACATTCGCTACGGTTATGTCTTTTATTAAAGTACACATGGTGAAATCTAGGCAAAGTCTTCTCCTAACCGATCTGTGAATGTGCTTATATATTCTTGGAAAAACATATTCGTAGAGCACCCTAGGGTTATACCCTAGATAGCTGTTAAATATTAACCTATTATTCCATACTTTATATTTCCTTTTATAAAAGAATTTACATGTTTGACTTAAATTAATAATGGTATGAACATCTAAAAATGGTTCAATGCATTTAATGTATCTCTTCCATCGTTCATTTTTCTTAACGATATTGTTGCTTATACTGCTTCCATTGTTGTAGTGACTGTACATGTTCAGGTTATTGTCGCTTGTTAAAATTTCGCTCAGGTTCCCTTTTTTCAGAGAGCTGTCAATGTTAAGATAAGCGTCTGAGTTTAGCTTGAATAGGTCATTAATACTTATGCTGTTGGCAATTTCGAGGGTATTTTCCCTCTTCATCTGGCCACCATTATGCAATAAAATGTCTTTCTCTAGTGAATTACTTAAGGCGTTATTTTCCAAAACGTGCATGTCATTTATATCAACAATGTTCAGATTATTCTTTTCGTTCACATTGCTAATGCTCATACTGGAAACACTCAAAGGGTTCTGTTCTATCCCTGGCGTTGTGTTGCTAACCCCCCCATATAGGCTACCCGTACTGCACACATCCAAAATATTGGTGTTATTTCTTTCGATAATATTTATTGAGCTATTTTTTTTTCTTAGTGGATCATTTTTCCCCGCTTGTACTGTGGTGCTGCTCATGTCATTGTTGGAGGTGGTGTCTGCTTTCCTGTACTTTTCTCTTTCACTTTCTTCTTCATTGTTTTTATCATCATCATTATTATCATGTGATATGGACTTAATATTGTTGTCAAAAATTAAGCTCAGTTTATTTAGTATGTACTGGTTTACAACTTCATCTTTTACTTCATTTCCTTGCGAGGCTGAGTCATTGTCATGTTCAACACTCTTCATGATATATACTACTTATTGTACAAGACTGCTGTTTCTTTGGGGGGGATTACTTGTTTTCTCCGTTGTGCTCTTCGGCTTCTGGCCTCTTGCGCAGCAAAATCCTCCTTCTGTTATTTTGTGCGCTCTTTGTCGTGCCTCTGTGGTTTGTGCTTCGGAGGATTCTCTTTGGTTTCATATTCGAATGGGTGTTTTTTTTTTTTGTGCGTTGTTGCTGCTGTAGTGAGGGGACTGCGGGAGATCGTTACGGCGTTACGGCGTTACGGCGTTACGGCGTTATGGCCTTACGGTGTGAATACCAAGGTGCCCGTTTAAGGAACGTCCTATGTGACAAGTTTTGTTCACAGGTGTTTCAAGGTGAGCAATACACTTCGCGCTCTTGGTATGGGTTTATACTCGTTCGGCTTGTCCACTTTGCTTAGCCTGTTTTTACTGTGTACTCAATGCGAAAATTGCAAAAAAGGTAAAAAAATGGAAAATCTGTACAAATTTCCAAATATCTGAAGGCTGTAAATATCGCGAGCTCGTTTTTTGCAAATGGTACAGCTGTTTCATTTACGAGTATGCATGGCTCTGGTGGTTTTGCCTGATTGGCACGTGCCTGGACCTCGAGCGCGGGTCGCAGCGCTGGGTTGGCTGTACGTGTATGCGTGCCTGTAAGGGGAATACTTTAAATTATGCATACATGCACACGTTACATGCGTACATTTGTACAAATGCGTATCAATGTGCATACAATTTTGCATATAAAGTACTTTCCCACATATGTACAAGGAAAAAACTGAAAAAGGGAAATTAATTCTTAAAAATCGCCAAGTTTGCAAAAATAAAAAAGAAAAAAAAATCTGCCTCTTATGTATCTGCTTCTTCTTTATTGCTCACAAACATGTATGCAATTTTGTTCCAATTGGAATAATCCAATTTTTTTTTTAAAATTGGGCTAAACAACAACAGCGTGAATTTTGATAACGGTGTTTTTTTTTTTTTTTTTAACATTTATTTTATATGTACAGGGGCCTTGTTCATGTTTTCGCATACATGTAGGTTTATTTATTTTTTTTTTTTTTAGCGCCGAACGAAGCACGTCAAATTTGGTCGACTTTGTAGAAGGGGCCATGGTACGAATATAAAGTCATGTTGGCACATGGCACTGGGGTATGTGGCAGTTGGCATGCAGTAGAGGCAAAATTAACAACTGTTTCGTTAAGTGCTTTTTTTTTTTTTTAAGCGTGTGGGTACATGCAAAAAAGCTTGCAGCTGCTAATATTGTTGCATGTAAAATGTGGCACATATAAATGTAGCCATGCAAGCGCGCGCATGGGATATTATTTAACCTATGCGAATATGGTTAAAGCACATATGGTTACAAGGGCGTATTTGAAAAGGTGCTGCGCGTACAATAAAACTATTCAAGTAGACTGCCCATGCGTATAAATAACCACTCTCATATGCACAGTGCAGTTATACTTGTACTCTGGGCATGTACCTCAGCGTAATATGTTGCTGTGGGTTTAGCACAATTATTACATGCGTCATTTGTGCAGCCTGTCTGAATGGGCTATATATATATATTTATACATATGGTATGTATTTTGTTGCCTACCGTAAGATAGCGGTATATATATGTAGTGGGCACAGGGCGATAAATCCCCACAGAGCTGCCCTCAGGCGCTCGCGTATGGCACGTGCGCGTGTCGCATTTCGTTTAGGAATTGCCCCATCCATATTGTGCCCCCCGCGCCGTCGTGGAAACTGGCGTGTGCACTGCGTTATGAAAGTACGTTAAGAGAACGCACGTACGATGTAGTGCAGCACAGTACATATACGTTACGCACGCGCATGTAGATATGAATTGAGTACATAATAATGTTGCACATATATATATGTATATATATATATATTTACATTATTATACGTGTTGGGAAATTATTCGCAAAGCGCGCGTAATCCAAATTCACATTTTACAAATTCCCGCGCACGCTAAATTGCTTTAATTTAAATCCATGTACGGGTAAAATCTTTACCCCAAGTTAATTGTTCGTACGTGAACTTAATTCGCGCACGGGAAAAACGAAAACGCGGCAAAACGGTTAAGCGGTTTAACGGCTAAACGCAAAATATCGGAAAGGAAAGGAAAAAAAAAAAAAAAAAAAAAACAAGAGGCACCTTAAAAAAGCGTTCGGCAATATTTCCCCCTTTGCCCAGGGAACACAGCAGTATTTTCCAGTCACTCTGCTGCAAGTACGTTTTCCCCACCTTAACACAGTAATGTTTTAAAGCATAATTTGGAACACATTAAAAAATAGAACATTCCTTCATTCGTGAAAATGAACGAATTGTTATGACTGCGCTTCGCATAAATGAAGCGTATATTGACGTACCATGCCAATTTTTGCTTTCACTTAATTTTAATTTTCCCATAATTGGAAAGCTTTTACGATTGGCCCGCACAAAAGTGTACACGCAAAGGCGTACCACAGGCATTTATACGTAAATATATTTCATTTGCGCCTCATTATTAATATTTTAATTTAAACCATGGAACAACGGTACACATCGTTGACGGACACACCAACGAGTTTTTCCCATGGGGCGAACATTGTTCGCCCCTTTTTTAGCCATGGTGAATTCTGCATTTAAATTTTTTAAAAACTGCACACGGCGCTTTTTATACTCTATTTGAGTGTAGCAAAATGTGGCGGGGGGACTGTGCCTGAAAAAATAACATCGCCGCCATGCAGTGAACACAGGCTGAACGGAAATCATGCAAACTGAATCATTCCAATCACTAATTTGGTGTGAGTGAAATTCATGTGGCGTGATGCCGAAAGGAAAAGTTCAGCAAACCGAACGCTTACATGCAGATAACCTATTTATTAAGATAAAGGGCAAAAAAAAAAATGCAGCAACGTGTACAGCATTAGGTGCTAGCGCGCTGTATATGTGTGGCCCACATGGCGCACTTATATAACCACTTTTGCTCATGAAGCCTGTGTGTTTGCTCTCACAGTTTTATACACGGCCTTCGCCCATTGCCGTGAGGGCGTCATCCCTGTTGTGTTAATGTTTGTGTGAGTGAACATGGTCGATCTGGAATTCGTGCGCACGAATAGCAAAAAAGGACAAATCGCGCAAACGGTCAGTATAAACACCAACTCCATTACGTCATAGCTAGGTTCTGTGTGCCTCTATGTTGTGACTCCATTTTACGAGTGCAACGACGCACGTACATTAATTTTTGCATCAGTAGGGAAACCCCAATTTGCTCCTCATAAATTATTCTCTGCGTTATAATTGCCACCGGTCTGGTTTTCCCATAGAAACACAACGAAAGGTCCACCCGCTTGTCTTTCTCCATGTATACAACACATGATCAAATTAAGAATATGTGACAATGTGTTTAGGTCGTACCTTTTTGTGTTAATTACGATAATTTTGCTTCCTCAACAGGTGAGCTTATTTTAAATGATTTGCATTATTCAATGTGCATATTTGCACTATGTGAAGTGATGTAGGGTTCTTTGCCCAAACGGGAAAAACTGTGAACTGAGACTAGTATACGCGTGAGCGCGCAGGACGTATAAGTTTCGCGCAATGTTTATCATAACTTCTCATTTAAGGACAAAACAAAAAAAAAAAAAAAAGTAAACGCAAAAACAATAAGAGACGGGCGAATAGCATGCTTCTCCTTTTTACCAAAGTAGAACCCAAAATTAGCGCTAATTATCTTTTTTTTTTTTTTTTTTTTTTATCCACCGCGCTGGAAGGACAAATGCCAAAATGGTATCATGAGGAGTGCAAAGCCAATCTCGTAACTGTCTCCTATGTGACTTTTTCCTATTTGCGACAAGGAAAGCAGGACGCAAATGTCATGTTCTCCCTCCTTGTCTTGTCTTTTCTTGTTTTATATTTTATATGAGATCTCGTATAAAGGGCAACAACAATGTAAATGTATTCGCTTCAATTATTTCTGCTGAACTGCGCATCGATAACGAGACACACAAAGTTGCAGAAAAGGATTAGCACATATTATGCAAAACCAAAGACTGTGGTTCGTCATTAGGGTTTTCACAGACAAAACTGACAAAACACAGAGACAGCATAAATGTTCGCCCTCTAAATTAGCCTAGCAGACATATGGACTGAGGAAGCCGTGTATATCTACTTGTCTATCCTTCTTATTTGCTCCCGCGGGGAAAGAGAGCGCGCCTAATTATGCACAAGTCCCCTTTTTTCTGTGCATCCATGTGATATACATGCTGACGGTGGGTCCTCCTGCCGCATCGACACGTCTGCATATCACTGCTTCGCTGCCGTACCACATGGAACGAGAGGTGCACTGCCAAACCGACTGGGCTGACCTATCGGAAGAAATAACCATTTCAGAACAGCTGAATGGCATGCTGGTGGCCTACGCGAAAAATATAATACTTCACAATCCAGCCGAGTCCGCTGAAGATGAGCACGTAATTAAAAAAAAAATATACGCATGGTCAAGGGAGTACTTTCAAAAGTTATATAATGAACATGGGGGGGACGCAAACAATGCAGATGACGGTGGCCAGCAGACTGAGTCGAGTGCTACTCGTGCTGATGGTCATTCGGTCAAGGATCAAATTCAAAAGGAAATGGAACGGGTCAATTTCGATATGGGAAACTAGCACAAAGGGGTGAGATTGGTCCTATTATACACAAAAACAGGAGCCAAAATGGGCACACACATAACTACAAGCATAAGCACAAACATACACGACCATTTTTTCCCCCCCTGCCGGATTTTCCTCATGTCAGGGGAATGGCATGCTTTATGACTTCATATTTAGTGCTGGAGACGAAGTCCTTCAGCTCGGAGCGAGACAACCACGCAAAGTCATTTATATGCTCATTGTTGGACAGATCCAAGTTGACGTCGTGCTTCAGATAATGCGCTCTGTAGTAGAAGATTTTTCTTCCGATAATTTCGTTAAACGAAAGTGGAATTTTATATTTCCTTTTTTCAAACGTACACGGGCAGTAGCCAATGAAAAATGGCATTTCACATTTTAAATGTTCCGTGCATAAGTGTTGTAAGTTCTGTCTGATTGTTAATTTTTTTTTAAAATCCATTAATGGGAACATCCACTTATTTGTTTTTTTATATTTCACCACTAAGTATAAAAACTTATTTGGTTTCCTCATAACATTTCTGTAGTTATATTCACTTTTATTATCATCATCATACTTTTTTTTTTTTTCCTCATTTGCATCTCCATCACTTTTTTTTTTTTTTTTTTTTTCTTTTGCCCTTAAAATGTTTTGTATACCTTCTATGGCAAATAAATTTTCGAGATCGTCATTTGCTGCAGACGTCGCTTCTTCACCTGGCAAATGATCCACACCTTTATCTTTTTTCCCTTGTTGGTGTCCCATTTCATCCTCTAAATTGGTGCCCTCAAGCTGGTTTTCCTTTTTCCGATCGTGAAAGGAACTCAAATTATATTTCATGTGTAAAAATTCCTCGTCGACATTCAAATTGTTGTTTGTTTTTTGAAGCCATTTGTCTTTGAAATCTTCGAAATCTTTTTCAAACTCTTCTTGCTCAAAAATCAGGGGGAATCTGTCTATGCACAGGGCCATTTGCACTTTGTACTTTTGGTGTACTAGTATTTTGTTTTCCTCTCCGGGTGGTATGCTGGCGTGGCAGCTATCGCTAACACGGTTGCCAATACAGTTGTCAACGCTGTTGCCAGCCTGAACAGGATCATGGCCCAAATGTTTACTCCCCTGTTTCAAGCCACCCTCGTAGCGTACATACTTTTTGTCACTGAGCAAGAACCTTCCATTGTGTTTACCTAAATGGAAGTAACTCAGGTGTGCATTTTTTTTTATAATTCTTCTTTCCGCAATTCTTCTTATCATGTTGTCTTTCTATAAGAGAATACCTGACGTTTTTCTCTTTCTTTTTTTTCTTTTCCTTTTTGCTCACTTTTAGTTCATAATTGTGTCTATGTCAATGCAAAAAAATATATTACGCCGCTAAAAAAATTAAATACATACTTTTTGTTTAATTTTCAAACATATAGGAACTGCCCGGTTCACATGTTTCCTGTGCTGACCTTGCACACGCGTACGCAGTGCCCTTCCCGCGAGTTTATGCTCCCGTACAGGACTCACAATCTGATTGTACACATAAGAAGCAAAACACTCGACTAGTTAGCCCAACGCAACACTTTAGCGTTAACTGATTGGGTGAATGTTCATGGCTGTGCGTATACCAGGACGCACTGTTTCCCATGAGCCCAATAAACCGCTCTGCGTATTTTTTAAAATGTTGTGCCACATTGTTCAAGCGTTTTCTTACAAAAGGGTATTCGTTTCGTTTGTACACTATTTTAGCACTTTTGTGATCATGTAGCTGTTTTAAGAAGTGCCCTTTTCCCTTGTTGCATTCATTCATTTTTTTTTTTTTTTTTTTTTTTTTGAAAATACCATGTAGAACGTAAAATTTTGATGAACACAGCGGGCATATTTCTCCACGCCGTTAAAGTGCAATCAAATGGATCTTTTCCAAACATGCAGGAACAAGGACATTCGCCTATTCGTCCACCGATAACTTGTTGGGAACAAACGGGTGTATTCGAAAACAATAAGGAAATGAACCATCAACTGTGCAATTATTTTTATGTAAAAATATCGTTGATTAAATAATGCCACATGTGCGGTTACAGGTGTACCTCTTTAAGGGGCTTAACAGAATTTCCTGGCAAAACTTACGAATAATGGAACCACACCAAATGGAACTGTACCGATTATTTCAACTCATTACTCCTCGTGTTAATGCTACAACAGAAGAAAATTTTCCGCCGAACTTTCAACCACCACGACGCGTGTGCTACTCATCAATTAAGCAACAAATGAAAACAAACTTTGCGCGTGGAACATTCCATCACATCGTATTTAATGCCTTCATGGAAGCCTTTGCAATCGGTCGATCCACTGTATAATTTTAACTAGACACTTTTAAGGACACAGTTCGTGTGTTGCGTGCACAATTAAAACGGCCATTAATTCAACAACAGATTGTTGGTTGTCTTGGAAGATCCTGTTGTGTTTTTTTTTGTTTCTTTTTTTTTTTCACAGCGGAATACACATGATAAAAAAATAGTTACGCAAAAAAGGGCGTACAGTTGATCATCACATAAAAGCATCTCCATTATTAACCGCTTGTTCACTTATTCGCTTATTCGTTCGTTCGATTGATTGCTCATTCTCTCCACCGCTCAAATACTCAAGCGCTATGTTATGTAGAGGCATTTATTCCACGCAAGTATTTGTGCCCATTTCTTTATAAAGCTTGGTGCACAGTGTGGCAGTACATGGAGGGGCACTGAGGGCCCGCACACATACGTATGTATATATAGAACACAGGATCACACTGTATAATGATGCAGCGCGAAGAAACGTGTAGCGCCGAGTTGCATTGTGACATGTTGCAGTATTCCCCGACCTCCATTGCGGAGTGATTACCGTGCATGAATGCGCATTCCTGTTTTGGCAACTTTGTTAGGTTAATTTTTAAGGGTGCCAACTTAATCCCATCTGTAGGCATGCACGACAAATCCATTTGCTGTTTTTTTTTTTTTCTTTTTTTCTTCCTCTTTGTCTTCTTCATTTCGAACTTTCCTGAGGTGCATAAACATAGGCACATCGTGTGCATTCTGCAGTAGTACATCTCACTTACTCCACTCGGACCACCTTCATCAAGTTGGTAGCTCCAGCGACTTCTTCCTTAATACCGTGAATGCATATGGCACTGTCTCCCACTTTGACTAAGTTCCTCTCTTTGGCAATTTCTATAGCATTTCTCAGGACGTTGTCAGTTCCTTGGAATGATCCTACTTTAATGCACGTAACACCTCTGTGTATATTCAGGCACCTAACCGTGGAGTCAGAGGCACTGAGGGCTAGGATGGTGCAGCTTGGCTTATACTTGGCTATCAATCTAGCAGTGTATCCTGTTTCGGTTAAAGCTACAATTAAAGCTGCACCAACGGATTCAGCTGTTTCTACAGCTGATCTAGCCACAGCTTCCTGTACACTTATGGGAGTGTATATCGCACTGACCAATGATTGGTATAACAATTTATAATCAATGCATGCTTCAGCTTCTAAGCAAATCTTGGACATAATTGTGACAGCTTCGACTGGGAATTTTCCACCGGCTGTTTCTCCTGAAAGCATGACACAATCGGTTCCGTCTAGCACTGCGTTGGCTACATCAGTCACTTCGGCTCTTGTTGGTCTTGGGTTCTTCGTCATGGATTCTAACATCTGGGTGGCGGTTATGATTGGCTTTCCTTGCAAGTTGCATCTGAAAAAAAAATAGGCAGTAACGGGTTCACGCAGGAAATTAGGACAGGGGTACATCGTGCAGGCATGTCCCAATACAGGGGAAAAACACTGACTACAAAACCAGCGACATGCCATTCATATGCAATTTACACAAAAAGAGGGGACACGCGCATGATTTGGACACATATATACGACAAAGCCCCCCTTCACTGATGCACCATAACGATAGATATGATAAAGACGCACAGGGAATTGTAATCTTAATTTAACACCAAATGATTTTAAGATTATATGAAGCGAGAGACGCTCCACATATAACCAATCGGCTGACTTATAAGATTGAATTATAAAGGAACTCGAACAAAACGTTCGGAGTTGTCTATTCACTCATTTTATGCACCACTTGGAGGGGATAAAATTAATTTGTGATTTTATTTTATCCTTTTCTCGTGGGGCAAATGTGGTAGCAGTGCGTGGGTGGCACTGCGCTGTGCAAGGTTTGTGGGCGGCGTAACATGTAGGCCACGTGATACGCTTCACAGGTTCACTACTAGATCAGTGTGTGCAGACAGCTATCCCCACAGTGGTGAGGAGCGCTGGGCAGCTAAAATGGACTTACTTCGAAATCATAAGCTTCTGGGCCAGGAAAATTTTCTCTGGAGAAATCTCCATTCCTAAATCCCCTCTAGCAATCATAATTCCATCAGACTCTGCTAAAATTTTGTCAAAGTTAATAATGCCCTCAATATTTTCTATCTTGGGGATGATTTTAATATGCCTTCCTCTAGGACCTAACAAGTTCCTAATCATCCTGACGTCCTCTGCAGACTGAATAAACGAGGCTGCTATGAAATTACAACCCATTGGGATGGCAAAGTTGAGAATGTCATTTTTGTCCTTTTCTCCTATGACTGGTAAGTCGACCTTAACATTTGGCAAATTCATATTTTTCTTTTCTCCAATGGTAGCTGAATTTAACACTTCTGTTATCACATGGTCATCGTGTGTTTCTAACACTCTACAACTAACGGACCCATCGGCAATTAGAATGATGTTTCCCTTTTTTACACTCTGTGGCAACTTTTTGTATGAACATGCAATACAGGTTTCGTCTCCAAGGAAGTCATAATCTGTAACTAACTTTAATTTACTTCCTTCCTTTAAATGTGCTTCCTTATTTTTTAGAAGACCCGTTCGAATTTCGGGACCCTTTGTATCTAACAGCATTCCCAATAAGGCGTTTGGTCTCTGCTCCTGCGCCTTCAATACATTGTTAAACATTTCCTTGTGATCTTCATGTGATCCATGAGAGAAGTTGAATCGGCAAATGTTCATTCCTGTATGGGGGATGATAAAAAGTAGTGCATGGAATGAACAGTTTTAATAGAGAATGAATGCAGGGAACTCCACCCGCGCCACTAGCGAGACACCTCATGCATGTGTCAGGGGAGCTTCGGACCCCACCAGGGGGCGGGGGGGGGCAACCAATACGAGGGTAAAAACCAACCTGCATCTATCAACTGCACGAGCGTTTCTACGGACTTGCACGCTGGACCCAGAGTACAAACAATGTGCGTTTTTTTGGAGCGTAAATCCACAGTGCTGGGCTCCAAGATTTGCCTTAATGTTATGTTGGCCGCGCTCTGCAAACTTGCACCGGCGGTGGAGTTTTTAAATTTGAAAGAGTTCATTTTGTATAAGCTACGGGGTATGCGAGGGTGGGGGGTGGAGTTTTATTCTCTTAGTTTGAAGAGGTTAGGTACAGTTGTTCAGGGGATAAGTTCGCGGATCCTTGACGGATAATACTTCTGTGATGCGCTCTAGGAGGTGGAAACACAAGAAATGGTTTTCTACAAAGTATACAATATCTCTGTATAAGCTGTGCTATGCAAATTTAAGAAAACCACTTTTTCGCAGCGTGACAAAACTTTGTGCTTCCTTTTCGGATGTATTTTATTACTTATAATGAAAATATACTCAATCAATTTAATTACAATTGCATTAAATAATGCTTAAAAAAGGAGGCGTTAAAAAAAATTATTTTATTTTATTTTTTTTTTTGCCTTTATAAGAACAGGCGGGAAAATAAGCCAATTGTATTTTTGAGTACCATTTCATGTGCGTAAAAATAAATAAATAAAAACAAAACAAAAATAATTTAAATAACTAATGGGTATGTTTATTAGCATAACCACGTCGGAGCTGCAGAATATGCTCGTATGCATCAGAGGGATGGCACTCAAAAAGCGCGTACCCGACGGGGAGCCGTACGTAAAATGCTTACCAACAAAACGGACGTGCACTCTTCGTATGCGTACGCATATATGTATATATCATTACATACATATATGTATATTATATATATATATATATTATATGTATATTTTATATATATTATATGAATATTATGTATGTATTATATATTATATGTATATTGAATATATATTATATATATACATACATATATGTACTGTGCGTAGCGGTTAGCTGCAAAGGCGTATCTAACGAGCTGCGCGTTAAGTATAAAGTGCCCCAAATGGGTTAATGATACAAACATGGTTTTATGTTCATTTCCCCGGGGGATCCCAAAGGTAGAATATCTTAAGGCATAAATGAGAATATAAGTAGATACGTGTACTTATTTTTATTTATACACCTATAATGTACGGCGCTCTGTGTGGGTAATCTGCTTAATTATTTCGAAGGCGTGGGGCTTTCTTTCCCTTTCCTTCACACTCTCCAGATGGTGGAGGCATGTGTTCATGTAAATAGCAGCATGTAGGTGATGAAAGTAAAACACTCAAACTGAGATTTCACCAAGCACAAACTTATGATATATGTATGTATATTATTATATGTACTACTTTTACATGTACGTATATTCTCTTGGTCTGGATGCACGTGTGCAGAGAACGGGCCAAGGGCATAAGTGCCGACACGGAAATGCGAACCCTACATCACAGAAATGGCGGGTTAGTACAATGTATGCATCCCGTACGGAGTAGCGAGTTGTTGGCCTACTCATATACAATTTGAACTACGCATTATAAAAACATAGGGCTCAGTGGGTAAAGGAAGGGGGCCCGTTCTCTCTACGTCGCAGTGCAAATAAACAAAAAATATTCGGAGGTAAGTTATGCGCATGTAGGCATGTACTGTATCACAGCGTACCTACTTTGGTGGGGCCGCTATACATAAGCCCTAGTAAGGAGGATTATATATTGCACGGAGTGCATTTTGTTGGAAGCGCTTCTCTTAAGTACACACCTGAAGTTATTATTTGGCACATAGAAGTATGTTAAGTACTAGCTATATATATGTATGTGTTCGTGGTAGCAGCACCTATGTGCAATGGGGGGTAGAGAGGACAAGCAAAAAAAAAAAATATATATGCGCAAAATATGTGACCATAAACAATAGGGGCGCTACACAATTTGAAAAATTAATAGAGATGAATTGTTCGTTAATAAGTATAATGTGAATTTTTTTTTTTTTTTTTACGTTTTGGGCTGAGGAAGATGTGATGGCTGCTATCCAATGTGTAGGGCGATCGTACTGCGTTAAGGGCAATATACATGTAACCATGCGGGTAATACGAAAAGGATTCATAGCAAATGGGTATATTTTCATGCCATGTTGCAAACGGTTTTAATAAACTAATTTGACGTGTTCACATGAGGTATTCGCACACATTCTACAAGCAGGGATGCATGAAAAGGGTGGAAGCGTGCATGGTTGACTCTTCTTAAGAATGAGATGAATGTATGTTCGTACAAATAGCAACAGACCGCATATGTAAACATGCAATATGCCAATTGAAAAAATAACGTGGTGTAAAAGTGTTCCACATACCTGTTAGGGAATTTTTTGTTTTTTTTTTTCCCCGCCGGCGCAAAGTGGCAAAATAGGAATTATGCTTTTTCAGCTTTTGATGTAATATGAAACAGGGTGAATTGGGTTTTATTTCGTGGGGTTTAATTTTGTTTTATTAAACGCAGGTTGGGTTGGTTATATGTAACTTGTGTTTAATCTGGTGTGAAGTCTTTCAATTTGATTTACACAAAAAGATTTTCAAATTCTCTTAAAATGACTGGTACGTTTAATTTTAAAGCTGACATGAGATATGTAACGACGAAGGCATTTAAATTGTAGGTTTTTCTTACAAGTACATGTTGTGTTTTTTTTTTGGGGGGTGGGTCACTTCGAAGAAAAGCTTGGTGTGTGTATACATTTGTATAAACCAATATGGAGCTAATTTAAAACATAAATGTTGATAACCATGTTGTGTATGTTAGCAGAGTTGGCTGGCTTCAACCAATTGAATAAGTTCTTTTTTTTTTTTTTTTTTTTTAAAACTACATTACATTACAGCGGCATGCGTAAGAAAAAGAATTGCAGCCAAATGGGGAGGCAGTTTTTTCACCACAGTTTGTACGTGGTAAGGAACCAATCTGAATCTCTGTTCCATTTTTGTGCCATTTATTTAATCCGTCGCAAATTGCTAGCTTCATTTGGAACACACAGGTGAAGATGTACCTTTTCCTCCACTTTTGCAAGTGTGGAAAGGTGTGTGGAATCAGTCGAGCGCTCACTATTTAGCCTTTTCGATGCGCTCGGACATCCTCGAAAAGAAGTAGACAATCTCGAACAGGTGTAGACATCCTCGACTGCGAGGGGAAATGCTCGAACGCTCCTCCTCACGTCAGCCATAGGGAAATTGTGCTTGCGGCTATGGGGGTGCAATAACACATAAGCAGCTACGCGGCACGAGAAAAGCACTCCACGTATGCATCTACTTATTGCATTTCCATTTCGCATGGTATAAAGCCATTTGTTCTTTTTTTTTTTTTTTTTTCCCCTTTTTTTTTTTTAAAAGCTTAAAAGTACAACAGTTAATTCTGCTTGTCGTGTGCGTGCGCGGTATGGAATGTTCTCAGGATGGGTATATTTCGCGAAAAGAAAAAACGGGGGCAAAGGACAAAATTGCGCACAGGGCATAATCATGCACGGTGAAGTTACGCGTAGCTTTATCACACACCGCACAGTTACACACAACAAGATATAGTAAACCAAAAAACAAAAAAAAAAATAAAGTGCCGCTGAAACACTCGTAGCTCATCTAAGCGTGCCCCCATGTGTTTCTCTCTGCTTTTTTATATCTTCCCGCGGTGTATACACACGCTTACGCATATGAGCGTATACACTACGTGCTGTAAAAAAGGGCACCTCGTGCAGGGGCGACGGGGGAGCGTTAACACGCGGGGCTTAATTTTATACACAAACAAGGGGATCGGTGAAGTCAAAACGATGAGTAGTTACTCCGGCGCGTATTGTGGTTAGCTACACAATACGCAGATACACATGCACCCATTTAACGCGTCTAAGACGATACAGACAGTATGCAATCAATATACAATGCATTCCTGGGCATGACAAAATAAGGTGCTGTTCCCCCTTTTTTTTTTTTTTTTTTTTTTCCCTGAGCAAGGAACCCCAAAGGTGCACGAGGCAAACTTAGAAGGAAATGTTGTTTTCCTTCAACGTTGCTTCGACCAACTTCAACAGGCACTCCACATTTTTCCCTCCACTGGTGAATCCAGAATAATGGACAAAGGATAGCCCCGAGATGTTCGACACCTTTTCCAGTTGCTCTCCCTGGAGACCCCTAAAGTTCTTGGGAAAGGGTAGTCTAATTGTGAAGGCTTCATTTTTCTTGGAAATGGTTCCACATCTGCAATCCTGATATCTGTCACTGTAGATACAAAACAAAATTTCATCTTTTATGTTTAGTTCTTCTTCTATGTCGTATACATGATCATAGTAGGGGCAATGCTTTTTTAAAAATATAACTCTTCCGGATGGGTGAAAATTGAATCTGTCTTTTACAGCTTCTAAGGTGATACTTTTAGCTGCGTACCATACATTAGAATAGTAATTTACAAAATTCACAAATTCTTCTTTAACAATTTTTGCAGCTTCCATAAAACGTGCGTCGGCATCAGCATCATTTTCAAGGAAGTTGGGATTGAATCGATTCACTCGATGTTGTAGGGTAGTATTAATTTGATACTTCGCAACTCCTTCATGTTGATTAATTCCATTGTCCAAAGCATCCACAGATTCAATAAAGGCAGTGTATATTTTATCATACAGTGTGTTTACCTTTTCTTCATCCGTTATGCCAAACCCTTTTCGAAAAACATGTTTCGCATAGTGTTTGTAAATTAGTCCAGCACTGCTTAGTCTTATGTCATGTTTGTCATCTAGGGTTCCATTAAATTCTTTTTGGTGATGATCATATCTTTTTTTTTCATGATCATATACTCCTCCTACATCTACCACCACGTCACACTGGTCCAGCTTTTCTTGGTCACGGGTTCTAATAATTTTCGCATCTTTATATTCTGGTAAAAACTTTAGCATCACGGTGGCTAATATTTCGTCCGTATGGAAACGTCCCGAATGTGTTCCTATGACTTTTTCCATGGATGGCGAACAGAAGAAGATGAACGACGCAAACAGGAACCTTTTGAGTCCCCTAGATTCTACTTTGCGTCTTCGGGTAGATTTGTTTTCGAAGATGTTTCTTGCCAGCACGTGGTACTTGGCCCCCAGCAGTCTCATAGAAGCTCTGCTCTTCGTTAGCCGGTTTAGCCGTTTAGCGGGTTTAGCGAGTGGATGTCTGTTTCCTCGGCGCGCTCGACAGTTGCTGTCGTTTTTTCTACTTTGTACTTCGTGCTTGCGGCCAATGCAGATTGTGATAACTTTTTTTAGAGTCCTAATTGTTGGGGGGTTTCGTTTGAATTATGCTTCTTAACGTTTCTTTGTTATGTTTTAAAAATTATATTTTACTGTTTTATTGTTTTATTTTATTTTTTTTTAGATTCTGTTTGCCCCTTTCTGGAAAACGTTATCCCCGGTGTATGTCATTTTTTTCAATTGCCTCATTTAACATGCGTACAGAGCCTCTTTTTTTTTTTTTTTCTTCCCTTCAGCTGCTTAATATTTGTGGAACTCACATCACATATGTATGCATACGCAGTTGACGTCATTTTTTGCACTTTGCGTGGCGCTATAACTGGTGGGTAAAAAACAACAAAAAAAAAAAAAAAAAAAAAAAAGAGTCGCTTCACAAAATGAGTATGTGCGCTTAAAAGGTACATTTTCTCTTGGTTCGCACAGCAAAAGTGTTGCCAAGTTTTTTTCTTTAAACAAAGCGAACATTAAGCCTAGTTCTGTTAGAAGTAGCAGTAGCAGTAGCAGCAGGTGGGTAGCAGGAGAAAGGGAGCGAAGAAACAGAGCGTAAAAATCAACAGTTGAAATCGACACCATAAATCCATCACACATATCGTCGGCACAAATCCACATCGGAAAGCGGCCCAAGGAAGCATAAAAGGAAAGCGAACCTCGCTTGTGGATACGGGTAGGTGCCCACTTGGTTAGCGCGCTGCTCCCACACGCAACTCCTTTTACTTGCATTATTCAGTTCGGCGCCATATGCGGAAATATATTTTTCGCTGTGGCTGCTTCTACTAAGCACACCTCTTGGGGTGGACATTTCTGTGTGTTTCATGTTGCACGACGTGTCGATGGGAATGTTCCATGTTTCCACACGCGATGCGCTTCTCCGCGTGCATTCCTCCTCACAACGTGCGCTATGTTTCGCCACATCATTCTGCTGTTCTCTCCCCTCAGCAGGAACACAGAGAAGGACGGTCTATGCAACTGCCCTCCCCCCTAACCATGTACAAGCACATTTTGTACGGCCTTAGCGGGGCGTTGAGCGGGTGGGTATTAAGAGACCTGGTGATCTGCTTATCAAGTAACCTGAGTTTATCAAACGGAATGCTTATAAACAAATTTATTTGCAGCAAGGATGATTTCGTAAAAAACATTCTGCCCGAACTCAAATACTGTTTCGATTCACTTGAGTTAAAAAAGGGATTCAATGATTATCATATATATACAAAAGAAAATGAACACTTTATGGAAACCCTATATATAGAAAAATGGAACAATACAAAAAATATGAATGAGCATTTGTATAGTGAGTCTAGTAAAAAGAATTTACATTACTTGAAAAAAAATAACATTTTGTTTTCTCCCTCCCTCTTTGTTTTGCTAAGACAGTATCCAGGGCGTGATACGCCGGCCTACTTGAAGAGTTACTTCGAGTAAGCTGCGTATTTATACACTTGTGTATCTGTTCGTGTGTGTGTGTGTTTGACTTTTGGGCAAGCATGAAACATTTTTTTTTGTATTTGCATTTTTTTTTCTTTCCCGAGTTTCACCAAATGGGAGTTCCCCTCCACTTTGACCTGTCTAGCGAATAGGGGGCACTCTATATAATCTGTGTGAAGGATACCATTTCGCACCCATTCGGCGGTGTATGCTGCCATTGCGGCGGTCTTGTGCCAATCGAATTGGCTGATTAAACCATAATGCAGGTAATCGTATCAATTTTACACATTTAAGAGGACAGGTTGTACTGCCTCATCATGCGAACAGCGTTAGGATAAATTTAACCAAACAGAAGAAAAAAAAAAAAAATTAAAAATTAGCCACCACAGGGGATTCATATTATATGCTCACATGCGTATATGTACCTAGGTACGTATGCACATTTGCTGAGACATGCTTTCCCCCCCCGAGTGGACATAGCATGACACAGGGGGCTAGGTTCTCCAAGCCTTCCGCGACCAGTTCCATCAAAAAATGGCCCTCTGGGCATGCGACCAAATCGCCGCACAAACTTGGCCGCATAACCTCAGCGCTTAGCCCCGTCGCTTAAGCTCGCCGCTTTGCCTTCTTCTCGGTCTGCTCCTGATACATCGAAATTTCGGCTGTGAGCGACTTGATGAGTGTCTCCTTCTCGCGGAGCTTCTTGCGTATTTGCGTAACATCCTGCACATCGGGTTGCTTGGACAAGTTGCCCAGCTGTTGTTGCAGTTGTTCGCATTCCTTGGTTCTCAACTGTATTATGCTATTTTTCTTCATGGACTCCTCCGTTTTTTCTATTAACTTTTTTTGTACGCATCTAAGTTTCTCTATCAAGTCAAAGGCAGTGGGGTCATTCCCCTCGATGTTTCTCCACCTGTGGATGTTTATTGGTTTTTCCAACTCCTCGGATAAAGTTTTGACTTTATTTTGTTCATTTATTAGTTCTTTTTTGAGCGAGTTAATTTGTAGCTTTGTACTGCTTAGCTGTTCCTTGGAAATATTGGAGAGCTCAGAGGAGCATTTCAAGTTAGCAACTTTTTTATTCAAATTTTTAATTTCTTGTTGATGGTTTTTGCTATCGAGGTCTAGTTTATCATGAGAGATTTGCAACAGCTTTAGCTTTTCCTTGAGTGTTGCTATATGTTCATTTTTTTCCTTCACTTCGTTGTTTAGAAGATCTTTCTCCTTCTTGTTTTGGTTTACACACTTTTCATAATTTTTTAATTTGGTATTTAGGTCATTAATTTCAAGGTCTAGTTGGTCTATGGTTTTTTTGTCGTGTAGTTGCTTCGTTTTGTAATCTTCATGATGACTCTTGTATTTTTCAATTTGTTCCTTTAGTTTTTCACATTGACTTATGGCATTTTTTTTATCCTCCATGGAATCTCCCATTTTTGCTTCTAGATTTTTTTTTTTATTTTTTATTTGCTGCAGTTCGTTGATATGTATCTTGTGTCTCTCTTCCAGGGTGTAGAGTTTTTCTTTAATTTCGGTGAGACTTTTATTGGTATTAATTTTTTCGCTTTTTATATTTTCATAGAGAGCCTTCTCCTTGGCTAGGTCGTTTTTTAAAGAATTGATAATTTTAAGGTAGGTTCCAATTTTTCCGTCTTTATTTATGAGCTCGTTGGTACTGTTTATGACTTTACTACTGGTGTTTGATAGTTCTTGTATTAATTTTTCTTTCTCCTTAACGAGTGATTGTATTTCTTCATTTAGTTTGTTTTTTTCTTCTGTGCTTTTTTTAATGTCTTTCTCAAGATTTATGTTAAACATTTTTTCCTTCTTAGCAGATTCTGTACTTTTCTTAATACCCTCGTCTATTTTTTCAATGAGTTTTTTGGTTTGTTCCTTCTCTACAATGAGGTCATTAATTTCTTTTTTCTGGTTTTGATACTTGGTTCTTATTTCTTCCGTCAGTTTGAGTAAATTTTGTATTTCATATGTAAGTGACTTAACATTAATATTTAGCGCTTTGTTTTCCTTCTGCATTAATTTTATTTTGAAGCATTCCTGGTCTAATTTTACTTTCATTTTGGAGTTTCCACTTGTGAGGGCGTTAATGATGGAGGTGTTGTTAGCAATTTCATTTTCCTTCATTTTCGCTTCATTGATGAGGAGTTTATTTTTTTTGTTCAAATCGTCTAGCTTTTTTTCCAAGTCTGCATTTTTTTTAAATTGATCTTTTTGTTTTTTTTCTAGCAAGTCGACCTTTTCAAGAAGGTTGGTTTTACAATTTTGTAGATCCCTATTTTTGTTAATTTGATTTTCCAGAAGCTTTTGCGTTTTTATTAATTCTTCATTGATGTAGTTTCTTTCGTCGATCAAAATTTCTGTGTTTTTTTCTATGAGCAATTTATCCTTGTTGTACTCTTCGTCTAGCTTTTTTTTCTGTTCCAATTCTTTTTTCAAATTATCTATCATGATGTTCTTCTTTACATTTTCTTTTTTCATTCCGTTCATATTTTCATGCATTTCAATGTTTTCATTTTTTAATTCTTTGCTATTTTTTTCCAAGTTATCAACTTTTAAAAGGATGTGTTCGTTTTCCCTCTTCAGCCCTTCAATTTCGTTGTTCTTTTTTTCCACTTTGATTTCTAACTCTTCTATATGAGTTTTGAGGGACTCTATGTCTTCCAAGTAGTTTTCCCTCTCGACATTCCATTTGTCTTCTTTCTTCTGGTTGCTATCAAATAGGTTGTGAAGTTTGTCCGATTCTCCTTGGAGAATTTGAATATTCTTCTTTCCTTCTTCGTAACACTTTGTAATTTCTTTATTTTTAATGGCATACATTTCTATCTTTTCCTTTAGGTCTTTTATTTCCTCCTCCTTCTGTCTATGTTTTTGTTCGTTTGTCTTTATGAACTTTAACACCCTTTTGAATTCTTTCTTGAGATGTACACTCTCATTTTTTTTGGTTCTAACTTGATCTTCATTCTTACACAGGTTGGTTATATTTGAGCTTACTTTGTAGAGGAAGTTGATCACCTCTTCTGCATCGGCGCTGTCGTTTGATTCGTGTTCGTCACTTGAATGGGAAGGCGAAGATCCCGCTGAGGGGATTTCTTCACTTGGCGCTTTTTGTTTCCGCCTTTTTTTCTTGCCCCCTTTTGAGCTTTTCATGCCAATTCCCTTTTTCCCCGCCTTGGAGCTTTTCGCTTTTGTCTTCTCCCCAGTTCCTCCATCATAGAAAGAAGGCATTACACTCGCGCTTTCTGTTTCACTGTTGGGGGAGTCACAACGAGGAGGAACGTCATCGGGTACTTCCCCAGGGTCATCGACACCTGCAGGATCGACATCGGGTTCCATTTTTTATTTTAATTTTACAAAAACAGGGTTCAGGCCAGCCACATTTAGTCTTCCTGTAGAACCTGTGGAGTGATATGTATAAGAAGACAACAGGGGGGAGAAAGGGTCTCAAAAGGGAAACATGCCCCTCCGCAAAAAAAACATAAGGAAAGCACGCAAGTAGAGCCAACACGCAGGCATAAGACATTTGCGATCTTGCGCTTCCCCCAAATTGCGAGCCTTCCTGGTAGGACTAGCTCAAAGAAGATTGCGACAAAGGCGGGGAAATGCAAAGAAGAATGCAAAAAAATGGCAGATAAAAAGGCCAAAAAAAAATGGAGAATAAACGGATCAAAAACGGAGAAATCACGGAGAAGAAACCTAACCCTTTGAACGAATAAGCCGCAAGGTCTAATTTTTTTTTTTTTTTTTTTTTGGTTTTTCACACCTTAGCGCACATTTCGCTTTTCTCCTTTTTTTTTTTTTTTTTTCGTTTTTTCCTCTTTTGTAAAAATGTGCCCGCATTAAGTCGGCTCAAATGAAGTACAATGACCTTCTCCTCCTATATGCGTCGCACCTCCCAAATCTCGTAATACTTTTGCAGAATTTTGTATATGAAAAAAAGGATCGGAAAAACAAAATGACATAACCATAAGGTGGCCATCATGCACACATGCAGAATCTGTTGCGTCTACATTTTTTTCTCTTTCCCCGTGCCTGCACGTGCTCCCCTTCGAACTGATCCATCTATATACTGGGCTATGTTGAAAGGACGGTGTGGTGGCATGTGAATACTTTCTACATGTCCTTCCACCTTTTCGCCCCAGATAGCCATTGCGTAAAGGTGCGCAGGTCTACCCGTGCGTGTCGCCAAAAGGGGGTCTGCAATTTTAAACTCGACATGGCCACTTTAACGGCCTGCTCATAACTGTCTTCATAAAATTCCCAATGATAACAAAAAAAAAAAAAATAAAAATGGACGGAAATGAATTACAAATTGGGAAGACTCCTGAGGAGCAACTCACTACAAAAACAAGGTGATGCGATCACCAGATGGGTAAAACAATGAAGAGGTGAAACTGCACGGATGCTATCGCAAAGCAGAGGCGAAAAACAAAAAGGGATTAAAATACGACATAAAAATCGAAAAGCGAAAAACAAAAAAGAATTGTAGTGTAACGCCCAAGAAGGGATGGAGCAAGCATATTGAGTGAACTAAAAAAAAAAAAATCATGTACTTTCAAATGTCAAGAGAAATGGAATAAAAACAGACGCTTTAATTAGCTGATAAATTGCACAATTTTTACGTTGTTGGTAAAATTTAAAGAGAACTACAAACAGATAGGGTGTCTAAGCGGGGGTAGTGGTACAGCGCAGGCGCCTTTTAACCTGTAACCGCTATGCGTGTGTATAGCCTTCTGAACGACGAAAACAAAAACAAAAAAGAAAAAGCACCAAACAGAGAGAACGCACAAAGCGGAATAAAGAAACGAAACAAAGAATAAGAAAAAAAAAAAAAAAAGAACATCTTCCACTCCTGTGAAATGAATTAACACGTTAAACATTTACAAAAACAAAGAATTTGCTGCTAGCCTTCCAGCAGATCGCTTCATCCCCCATTTGCTCCTCATTGGGGGAACGGGCTAACACATTCTCTTCGGTCCCCTGTCCTTCCCCCTTTCTCGCATCAGTTGTTGCGGGGGATACCCATACGTACAATTCATCCCTACATTTTGGAAGTCGTTTTGTTAAAAAACGGCAAGCCAATAATCTTAATTTTGTTGAGCCTTCGCTTACTCCTATCAGACGAATTAGCCTTTGTCTGCTTAGTGCAATCCGATTTCGCTTCAGGGGAGGAGAGACTTGGGTCCTTTTGTTCAGTTGTCGTTCTATCATCTACACTGTGCGTTATGTCAGCGATCGATGATGAAATTTTTTGTCCGACCGGATTTGCCTTACTCCTACGTGTGGCTGCACCTGCAGGATCGTGTCGTGGTGCCTGCTCTAAGGATTGCCCGGTTTCTAATTTACTAAACGAATCTTTAGACACCTTGGTACTTAAGGATGTATTCACGGTGGTAGACTGCCTGTGTAATTTCGAACTGGCGTAGTCTGACCTTTTGGGCATAACTGACTTCATGCTAATTAGGGATGATTTTTTGTGTAATTTTTTTTCGGAGTTAGCGCTGTTAATCGAGTTGAGCGTGTTGACAGTGTTCATCGAGTTCATCGTTTTGATCGAGTTGGCCGCGCAGGTAGCGTTTGTTAAGCTCATCGCGCTGTTTTCACATTCACGCTCCGCACTCGCTGTGGCCTTGCCCGAATGATCCATGCAATCGTTGAAATCATAACATGGGGAGTAATCTCCAACCCCTACCATTCTATTCAATAAGGTCTTCTCAACATACTCGACCTTCTGAGTATGATCTACCAATTCATCCCTGAACAAATTATTCGTTGCCTTAATTTTGTAGTACTTTTGTGTTTTGTCCTTCCACTTTCGCCTGGAATTACTGGGCTGCTTATTTTGCAAGTGGTCACTCATACCCGTAGCAGATTTATTACCATTATTATCTTCAAAGATGGCTTCCGAATTGGCGTAAAAGTTTTTCTTCGCATCTTTGGAGTCGAGCTGTTTGGTTCCTCCAGTTCTCCTCGTGCAGTCATCTCCGTGACCGTCTTGATCACCGCAGAGGTTTCCAACACCACAGCCAAAATCTCCCCTGTACGCATGGAACTCGCTGAACCCATTCTGCGTCGTTCCCGTTTCGCCCTTTTTCTTACTCCTCCTTGATTTGTGCGCATGTGGAGTACTGACACTGCTCTTCCCCTCATTGATGCGACTTATGTTTTCATGTCTATTCATCGACTTTACATTATTTAAGGTGTGTGAGGGTTTCTCGTTTGGGACATCCCCCAAATGTGCAATCGAATTTGCAGTTGTATTGGTAATTGTGCTAAGGGAAAGGAAAAGTTTGTCGCCATAAGGATGACCACTTCTGGCGCCTCTGCCATCGCGATCATGTCTACCACTGCCATGTTTGCCATGAACAGAATAATCATCTCCCTCCGCGCAGGCATGACTTTCTATATATTTCGCATAATGATGCATAGACTTAATACTAGACTTCACGATGAGGTAATTTACAATGAAGGGGAATCTGCTCGTTAAATAATTTATGGTTATTTCAGGCAGAAATAGGTGCTTCACTTTGAAGAGCCAGTTGTGCGTGCTGTCTACACTAACGCCATAGCTACCTCTTGCATTTACAAATTTATTGTTTTTTAAAATGTTGTTACTTTCGATTTGATACACTTTATTTATCACTGCATCTATGAAACAGCTTTCTAATAAATGATCCCTTTTGGATAAATTTTTTTTTTTTTTTTTTCTCCTACTAGTGCTGCTGTTATTGCCGTAACTGACCAGGTGCTTCATGCTGCTATTGTTGCTGCTGCTCCTTTTAACTCTACTCCTGCCGTGTCCATCTCCACTCGCAGCAGGGGTATAATGCTTTCTCATCGATTCCTTGTGAGTTCGGTCCACCAATTTCAAGTGCAATGAATAGCCTGACATGAGGTAGTCGCGCGCTTTGTCGCTCATTTGATGGAAACCGCGTCCAATTGGGGGGTCCTTTACGATAGCATTCCCAGAGTGAACTTCTACCTCCTGCGCCGCTTCTCCATCCGCGCAACAACAGTTGGGGTAAAAGGAGAAGGGGTAAAAGACGCTGTCCCGGATTTCTCTTACTCCCCCGTATCTCTTCTCCAGTTGCGTGTCGAAAATTTCCTCCCTCAAATAAGACGCATAATTGGTGTCCAAAATCTTTAGCTTCTTCGTCATGTAGGACGGAGCAAAATTTAAAAACGACTTCCCAAAGGTTTTGAAAATTTTCGGAGCATCAATTATGTACATCCGAAATAATCTGCACCGATATTTTGAATTCATAATCTCCAACAATTTCATAAATGTAGACATGGGAAATTTAGATAAAGAAATACCAGAGCAGTCAACAAGGGATATATAATTTTCTATCTTTCCAGGTATACATAAATATTTTAAAAAGAATTCGAAACAGAAAAAAAATAAATTTGTTAATCTTTCTACATCTAACAATTCGACATTCAATAAATTGATTATCAAAATGGGCCTACATTTCTTATCTCTTCCATGCCAGTATATGACTCCTTTGTTAATGTAATTTATAACATCTTTTTCTTTTATGGGTAGAACATTGGACAGCCTGAATTCATAGTTACTCCTAATCAAGTCTAACGCTTTTGCAAAATCGAATTGCGCTGAGTATAGGTAACGCAAGCATTCATTTTCGAAAAATGCTTTATTTATTTTTAACGATTTGTTTTTACAATACTTTTTGAATTCACTTATTGCAATTTCTTCATCTGTGGTTATGAATGTGTTGTGGAAGATGTACCTCAGGTTTGTGTTTTCGTCGTACACGTCTTCCTTCTTTGGCTCGAAGAAAAATACGTTTTCGTCTATTGTGTATTCGTTGATGTCCTGTTCGATTATGACTTTCCCCCTTGACAGATCCATGGTGCGCGGGTTTAACTGTTGGCGGGTTTGCAATTAGCACCTTCGAGACCTGGTGGACGGTCGGCTGAGCGGATTGCCTAACATGTGTGTGTTTTGTTCACTGTGTCTTCACCACGCGGTACTGTGATTTGGCTACTTGCGCGTGGCCTCTTGATCTCCTTTCCGTTTTTATAGCTCAACTGTGTGGCGATCGTTGGGCGCAGCGTTTGCGAAATTGTTGTGAACTGTTTTGAGTTCGATTCGCAACGTTTTTAAGCTCTTACGCGCTTTTTTTCCCTTTACGTCGTGCGCCCAATTCACAACAGGCCATTTGCAAGGAACTAGCCGTTTCCTCTTCGTTCCTGGCTTGCTAACACAATTGCGCTGAAAACTCAAAAATGTGCTGGGAACAACGAAGTGCTTTTTACATTTTTTTTTTTTTTTTCCTTTTTGAGAAAATGGAAATTTGGGTCACACCATATATATATAATAAAAGAGTGTATTTTATTATATATACTTTAAAATGTATTCATTAAAAAAGATAAAAAAAAAAGAAAAGAAATATATATATACGTAAAAAGAGTTCATGAATTGTACATACGCATGTACGTTAAGTAAAACTTCGATTTGAAAAACAAAAATGCAGGATTTTTTTTTTTTTTTTTTTTTTTTTTTTTTTTTTTTTTTTTTTCCACTATTACAACGTAGTATTTATACAATTTGAGGCATATGCAAATGTGTCATTGATGACTATCTTGTTATACGTCAGACGGCAAATGTCCAAGTGGGTTAACACACTTGTTTCTGT